GCAAAATGCCCTTTGTCCATCTTATTTTTTTTTTAATATATATATATCCATTTTGCTAGGAATCACAGTTTCTCCTTACCTTTCAGCCTTAGTCTTTTCTCTGCAGACAACGTTCTTCTCATTCCAAAAGTCTGCAATAGCCAAGGGAGCTTGTTATTTTTGTGCAGGTCGCTCTGCTCTCTTTGCTTCCTTTTAAAACCCAGCACATCCCACACTCTGCTTTCTCCTGCTATTCTGATAACTTAAATGTAGACACTATTAAGTGTTCAACTATCAATATGGATTCCTTCCTCAAACACTTTTTTTCCTATTCGGTATGAAATTTCAAGGAAGAAGACATGCCAGAAGAACTTGTCTTCCCCTGATTATATTTTCCCTTTCAATTTGAGTCTTTCTAGCTTGAGAGTCATATGTGAATTACTTGGTTGTACAGGAGCATGAGACTTGTGAAGAACATCTGCTAATGGACTGTGAATTGCTGGCAGTGTCAGCCTGTGGTCCAGTACGGTGAAAGAGTAAAATATGACACCCAAACAAGCGCTTTTCTAGGAATATAGTTTTGCAGCATTGGCTTCAGTTCATCCATATGCTACCAGAGGTCCTTTCTACTGCTTTAACTGTCTGATGTGGTATTTGTCTTGCTTTTGTTGATTTGGAGGTCTTGTTTAATGTTTTCTTGCCAATGCCCCTCTATATAATTTATATCCTTCCCCAGTTCATAAGCCATGCATTTATGCTGCTCATGGTATAAATCTTGAGAGGTATGTCAATATTCCTTGTGCATTTGCTGACTTTGAGAGGGAAGTTGCTCTTCATTAGCTGCTTTCTTTACTTTGAATCAAATCTGATATCTTCTCTTTCTGCAGCGTGGACAAAATAATTCAGTTCCTTTGCATGGATTTGCATTTTGCCGTGACTCAATTTTAGGCTGCACTCTCTGCTTCATGTAGGTAATGCTGCTGGTTTTGGGGGTTTTTGTCATGTTTTTCTCTGCATCTGTCATGCCTAAGAATATCATCAAGAGTGACTCTCGCCCTTCACCAGCTTTGTGTTATTTTGGGAATCTTTTGGGAGATATCTCCAGGATAGGCAGTATTTCAAGAGGCAGACACTTGAAATGCTGTCTTCTTAAAGTCATTACCATTCTGCTTTCTTGGTCCAGCCCGAACTGCTTGTGCCCACATGGAGCATTTAGTACATGTAGCACATTTGGTGTAGAGAGCAGATAGGTGATCACATCCTGGGTGTGCAAAGAGCGATGTTTTGTTGCCTTATTCATCTCAGTAGCCTATGCAGCTACAGATTATAATGATGTTTCTCTCTTTCCCTGAATTATAATGCAAAATCATTCCAGTGCTTTCTCCACTTGCTCAATTGTCTTTAGTTGTGGCACAGGTTTTGCTCCCCAGCCCTTTCTGAGTTTTGCTGGTGGTGGATGCCATGGTGTGCATTCGTAATTTCAGGCAGTAGCTGCTCTCTTGCAGGGAGGGGTTGTGTTGGAATCCCAAGGGAGCCTGGGATGTCATCTTCAGTGATTCCTGCTGATTCAATTTCCCTGCAGCAGAGGAGATATCATCCATCATTTTCCACCGCAGCACAGATCCATTGCTGGACAAGTGCCTCTGCCTGAGCCTGGCAGGCACAATGAAACTATAACTGGGAGCAGCAATGCCCAAAGTGACGAGGCAAGCCTGAGGTTCAGCCAGGAAATCAAGAGCCTGTGGCAGGGTCAGGGCTCCCATCAGCAGGGTACCAGTCTGGCACGAACATGGCCATGGCACAACTCAGGCGGGAGCCAAGCATGAGAGAGCCGTGACTGAAAAGCAGTTCCCAGGCTAAGGAGGGGATCTCCCATGAAAGCATCTCAGCAGAGCTATGCAGGGGATCCTCCACAACAGCTTCTTCCAGCTCTTTTTTCTTCACCAGTTCTGACCAGCCAGCTGGTCTGGAGCTGCCAGCCAAAATCCTAGAAGGGGGAGAATGTACTCAGGGCCCTGACAAACTATCCCTCTCATGTCTTCAAAACCCAGAAAAGCATTGCTCTACTGTGAGGTAGGCTTTAAGATTTTTTATCAGATTTCAGGGACTGAAGGCTTTTTGTCCCAGGACTGCTTTTGCTGGCATTTCTGTATCACAGCACCGGAGATATGTGACACATTGATTTATATCTGTCTGAAACACTGCACTTCCCTGCTGTGCCAAATGCAGGTGACTGTATCCTGCCAGTCTCACAATGGTGTTAATGGGACAGCTGTGCTTCTGCTTTACTCTGTCCCAGAATGGCTGCTGGCCTGTGCCCCCATGAGAAGATCCAATGTCATCAGTGTGTCTCCTAGGTCCTGTTATCAGAATTAGAGATGCATCACCAATTTTTTTTTCCTGCTCTGTGCAGTGTCAGGAAGAGTGCAATGTCACTGCTGCTGAATTGCTGTCCTTGGAGGTTCTCTGCAGTCACACATGTGGGTAGGGCCAGGTACTTTTCCATCTGCTCAAACGATAAGCTCTCACCTGGACTCTGGAGAGCCAGGTCTGCTTGTTGCTTTCCGCAGTGCAATGCAGCACACCAACATCCTGCTGATGTTCCTCTGCTGCTGGCTTCACTTTAACTGCTGGATGTAGCTCAGGCCCTCTGCTACCCCCTCTCTCTCTCAGCAGCACCTACAGCATTCTGCTGTCCTTGGCTCTCCATTTTACGAGGCACCACCACCCCACATTCTTCTTCTAGATGCCTGTGCTCTCTGAGTCCCCTCTGTTCAACTGCTAAATGGCTCTTCATCACTAATTTTCTTTGTGCCCCTCTCTGGTTTGACTCTGTTAAAACCTCTGTCAGCAAAGCAGAGTTTTCCTTATAGCCTCAAATCTCCACTCACCACTGGGCTCTTCCTGCACAGCTTTTTTTCTTTTTCCTCAATAGTTTCATGCAGAAGTGTGTTCATGCAGAAATGTTTTCTTTTGGTGAGCTTTGTCTCCTGTTCGTTTGCACTGAGTTCCTCACCAGTCCCCACGGCCCACAGTGTTCAGCTCCGGCCCACCCCTTTTGCTGCCTTTTCAGAAAATCCCCATGCCCCTGCTCTGCTCCCCTCTGCTCCTTACCTCATCTCCTGCAGTCCTCTCATGCAATGCTTGCATTTGCACCCACATCAAGGGGGAAGCCAATATCTTACCAGCTGCTACTCAGAGGACATTTAAGTGTGGGTTGCCAGCAACTGAAGCCATCCTGCTCCTTCACCTCTCCCCATCATTGCATGGCTGGGCAGTCACTCAGACCAGCACACACCCCACAGACATTTTCCTGGGTTAATTTCTAGCCAAATAAGTCAGCTGATCTGATTTACTCACCGCTTCTCATGTCAGGTCCTAGTTGGGGGATAAGAGGTGTCCAGAAGCCCCCAGGGGAGCAGAAGAGACGTGGGGCAGTCCCTTTTGTCAGCACTGCAGCATCAGGGTAGCTAAACAGGACCATGCATCATGCCCCAGGACAAATCAGTGACAAGGGGATGCTATTTGGCTTCTTTGAGCAGCCCAATGACTATTATAGATCTTCTGCCTTGCAGGAAGACTTTCAGACATCAGACATCTTTCTTTCTAACACTATCAGGGGACCAGCAAATGATGCCATATAAAGGTAATTATGCTCAAAAGCACAGTTAGAAGAAAAAATGTGCCCACTGGCTCTACAGGCATGAAGTCCAGTGTCAGAAACAGTAAACATGGGCCCTGAGCCATAATAAAAATAATAAATAACAGCACCAATGAGGTCTGCTTTTCTTTTGTTAGTGTGGGGAAACTCCTCTGGGACCCTGCCTTGGTAGGGGTATAAAATGTTTGTGAAGTGAGAGCAGAATGAAGAGTATGGCTCTTACTTCATGTGGGAAAGGCTGTTCAAGAACTCCCTGAAATCAGAGGAAAGTCGTTGTATTGCTTGGCACCTTCCCAAAGTGATTTCATTTTCTGTTCAGAATTAAGATGCATTAGTAGCCTGAGGGCAGCAGTTTCTTTGCCAAAAAATGCCTTTCTCTCTCCCCTCCCCCATCCCCCACCTCCCTGCTTGTTTTAAATATGAGGGCTTGCAGGTCAGGAGTGAACACTCAGTGAGTATTACTTGAATTATCAAATAAAAGTGCTGCAATATAATTTTTTTTCAAGCAAACATTGAGTTAATTAAGATGTGCACTGTGAACTTGGCAAATTTCACGTTATTAATGAGAAAGGTATGGGTCTGTCTATTGCAAAGGCAAACTAAAAATAATCAGACATATAGAACCAGAAGGGCAGCTGTTAAGAGTAAGGCATACTAGAATTTTTTCTGGCAAAGCTCTATCTCCAGGAGTGTCATTTAGCCTCAGCCCATTCTCTGGCCCTCACCAATATAGCAAAGCTGGCAAAAACCTTCATGTAAATTTGATCATGCTGGTCATAAAATCTTTTGGCCAGAAAGCTGTGCTCTCTTTGGGGAAACAGCATAACCTGTATGGGCCAAAGCATTCCTGCTGACCAAATTGTGCCCCAAGAAGGAGCAAGGCTGGAACAGCCAGGTGGAGATGGCCTTCAAAAGCTACAGGGAGAAAGGTTTCAGCTCTTGAAGGCCTGGTCCAGCAACAAGGCCTTCTGCCACCAGACTGTGGACTCCCATTCTTCCACTGAGTGGCTTTTTCCATAGCAGAGCCATGATAGCAGGAGGCACATCTGCTGTCACCTACATCTCTGTATCACTGTGGGTACCTGTGCAGGTCTCACTTTGGGTTTCCACCAGGAATTGAGGGCCCAGACAGCCAGTATGTGCAGTGGGACTGGTCAGACGTGAGGCAAAAAACTGGAGTGCCCAGCACCACCAATACTGACAGTGAGAAAAAGTGGCAGCAATTTCCATGTTGATAAAGTGAAAGCATTTGTACCTTAATGTGTTGTGCAAAGGACACTAAAAAGGGAAAGGGAGAATAAAACTTATCTTGAATACCACATTAATAAAAGTCTGTACACAGACTAAAGAGATGACTTACCCTTTCTTCTCCTTCCAAACTCCTCTCTATTGCTTTCCTCTTAGAATCTGAGATCAGTTGATTTATGTAGTGACATCCTAGGATAAAATTTGCCTTCTCTCCACTGTCATTCTCCAGTAGATTGATCTGAAAACACAAAGTCACGTTAGTCATCTGAAAATCTCAAGCAAGATGTTTTCTTTCTTACCTGTGTAAATTCGTGTCAATCTCATCTGCTTCAACACATTCATTTGAAAGCTGATGGAAGCCAAATAACTATCTGAAAAGTATGTAGGCAAGGAAGTTGGCCAGTTTGCAATACGTCCAAGCCAGTTCAAGAGCAAAGGCTTTCTTGTGAGATGACTTGGTCTGCTTGTTTAAATTACGCCCTTATCCCTAGCTTGGAAGAACTGGAGGAATATTTATAAAAGATGCTTGGAGAGGATCTGGTATGTGGAGGTGGGATGTTCTTGCAGTAGGTTGTGGCAGAGACACTGTAAATCTTTGATGAACTATTTTGTCTAGGTTTATGTTAAAGAAAAAATGTCTGCTGATCAGTAACTCTGGGAATGGTAGTTCCTTATGTCTAGCTAGGAAAACAGGCTTTCAAACAAATAAAAACCAAATACATTTCCCAATCCTCCATGCAGGTAAATCAGAAGGGTGAAAATCTCCTGGCAGTAAATGAAAACTGTTTGGAGTGGAGGCAGGATGCCCATTGGCACACCACATCCATCCCAGAGGCACTGCCAAAAGACCCTGGGGCTGTAGCAGCCATGGGGGGACAGGGGAACTGTCGTTGCACAGATACTGCACTGCAGAGACGGCAGAAAGTGTCTCTGACCTAAGGCCGAGTATAAGAGCATGGCCAGAGGTTGATCAAGTCTACACCATGAGACAGGGAGGGATCCCTTCCTCATCTTTCAGAGCAGGAGCTCCAGGAAATGGATTCTCCAATATGGGCTGGGTACCACAGAGGTACTCGGCAGCCTAACTACACCATCCTGGTCTGCTAGGAAGCATCTGGTCATCTCCCAAAAAATCTTCACTTGCATCGCCTCTCCCTCCACAAAGGAAACAGGAGTGTGTGGGGAATTTGCTGCATCTATTCTGTGTTGAGTGAATAACAAAGGAGTGTTTGTCTCTCCTCTGAGAGCACCATCTGCAATGGATATCACTCTTGCAGACACTGTAAGACTGCAGAAGGTGTGTTGGAAGAAGTGTGGGCATTAAGCAGAATAAAATATTTTCACTGTGAGGAAGATTTCACAAAGAAAGGCGAACCAACATCCAGCTACAAAATAAAATTACTAAGAAAGGAGACATTATTTTATCTCTAAAGGCATCCAGAAGGAGAATAATTCAGGTTGTGCATTGAAATCCCTAAAGGCTCATACCAGGAGTAGATTAGTATAGGTACCCTTGTAGAATGAAAACAAAACAGCTCTTCAAGAGCTTGCTGAAATAACAGGCACATAATAGCTCTCTTGGGGCACCAGGTTTTAAGACGGTGCTTGTCTTGATTGAGAAAGTATCTGAAGGTATGAATGGGCAGAGTGCCATGCTTCTGTGGAGGATACCACATCTGATTCTGACAGCCAGGAACAGCTGGAGGCAAGGGAGATAAGATTGTGGTTGTAGCTACGACCTTGAAACTCAGTGGTTTTGTGGTGCAGGTGGAGATCAGACCACTGGACCATGACATGGGCAGGATGTGAGAGAAGAAGCCAGTAATGCCTGTTGTAGGTGGCAAGGAGTCTCTGAAACATCTTATTTCATAGAGAAGAGAGAAAAAGGAAGCTCTGATTATATGTCACCAGTATCTCAGGAATCCAACTGAGAACCAAGATCCTGTTGGGCTGGGTACTTCCCAATGGCCAATGTGTCTATATATTGTGGATATGTAGCAATCCCATACCGTTTCTTGGCAGCTTTCTACCACTCTTTGAGGTGTGTCTCTCCCTTCAGCAGCTGTCCCCTTCTGAGGGCTAAATTTGTGAAGCGGGATCAGGCTGCTACAGTTGGATACACTACAGAAAGCTCTGCAAAGAGAAAGTGGGATCAGAGCAAACATCAACTCTGCTCAATCAACAGCAAGTCTGAAAATGATAGGCAGGAGAGAGAGCCGTCTTACAGCAGCACCTTACTCCTAGCTCTCCTCCTGCCTGCCTCCCTACCACAGCCAGAGACATCCAGCTCTGCCTGTGGGGCTGGCACCTGCCTCTGCTCCTTGTCACCAGCCTCTTCTCCAGGCTGTGCTACATATTAAGGTTGTAAGAGACTCGGGGCCAGTCAATGGCAAGAACATTTGCTATGCTCAAGCACTCTGCCATCCTTGCAGGCTTGCCTGGCTCAATTTTTCTAGTTAGGTGAAGCAGAGCTGGTTTTGTAACCTGATCTTCTCCATTTTCCCACTTTTTTCCATTTTTCTCATCAAAAGGCTCGGCAATTGCTGTTGCCTTCAGAGTGAATGTTAATCCTATAATCTGCTGCAGATTTTGTTTGTGTTGGAACATCACCTGTGTAAACTTATCTCTGCTCAAGCCACGCAGAGTTTGGTTCACAGAGACTTGCATTTTGGGAGGCCAAATGGGAAATGAAAAAGAAGTAGCTTCCAAAAACCATCATGAAAGATGCCCATCAGTGGCACTGCAGAGTGAAAGAAGACTTGCTGAAAGCTGTCTCATGGCAGGCAGATGAGTCTTCTGCACTGGCCCCAGCATTGCCTCTGTGTTGGTGAACAATGGCCATTGCCATCACCCTCCTTCCTTGCACGGGAAGGTTGTGCCTCTGGCAGCAGCAGGACTGCCTGGGAGCTGTTGTCCTTACCACAGCTGTAGCCAAGCGATGGCCCCCTTGATATCTGGTTGCATCTATGTTATGAAATAAAACCATGTGAGACATCCAAGGCCTGAGGGCACAAGTCATGTCAAGCCACCTAAATTCTCCACCAAAACAGGATGGCTGTGTCCAAACCCCTCTTGCCTGCTGATATGTCCATAGACCTAGAGATGCTGTCAAACACTAGGAAAGCTGCCACCTATATTCATGCAATAAGTTCTTCAGAGCCTTAAAAGTGAACCCTAGGCTTGATCTCAGACCTGTCCAGGGTGCTCTGATGTGAACAGGAACTGATACCAGACTCAGGGTTATTTCATTAATAAAGAAATAAATGGGAACTGCTCCTTAACAAGTTCTTTCTCAGATTGTGTCCAGGTCTTTTTTAGGCTAGAACTGACTGGCACAGGCCAAAAAGATGGTCAGAGGGCATGCTAACCATGAAATCAGACAGATGTTTAGATTTTCTAGTATAGATGAAGCCTCTGCCAACAGAACTGGTCAAACTTGGTGCACTTCTGCAGGGGCTCTGACTGACTGGTAGACCAGTGCAATCAGCCAAGGGCAAACCATGACCCTGGAAGCAAGTCATAACAATAAACAGATAATATATTTAAAAGAAAACTAACTCAATTTAAAACCTAAAATGTAGGGCTGTCTGTGTGTATCAAGCAGGATCACTTAGCACAGAGAACGCATAGCAAGTATCCCTGGCTGAGATGCCATGAGATCTCCTGGAAGCCCAAAGCTCATTTCATTAATTCTTCTGCATGCAGCGGCAAAACCATATGCCAAGCCCTAGCTGCAAATTGAAGGGTATAATCTCCCTCCTGGCCAACGGAAATGTCCCAGCCTTGTGAACAAAGGCATTGTTTAAGACTGGAAGCAGGCTGGCATGTTTGAAATAAGGAACAGCTCCAAACCCATTTATTTTTCCTTCAAATTTTATCTTTTCCCTCACAGTCAATGCAGGCTGTTGAAAAAAAAGAATGACAAAAACAAAAGCATGACAGAAACAAAAGTTTCTGTCATTCTGGGGAACACAATTCCTCTCAGGGAGGTGAAGAGCTGCTCATGCAGAGGCATAGGAGAGACAGACCTTTTGCAGGCTCGTTCACCAACTTCTGCTGATGCACTTCATCCCTCAGCTCTGGTAAGTCCACTCCTCCAGTACAGAGGCAGATGTGAGGTGGGAGCACACTGGTAGTGCTGGAACTCACGCCAGCGGAGTAGTCGCATCTTTTATCTTTCCTCCAGCCAGGTGCTCTGGGAGATGGAGGCACTTGCAGGTGAGGCTCTCTGGGCATTGCACACCTCTCCTCACCAGCCTGTTACACTGCAGAAGGGAGCCTTTGAAGAAGAGTTACTTTGCCCTTAGAATCACAGTGTCATAGAATGGTTCGGGTTAGCAGGGACCTTAAAGATCGAGTTCCAACCCCCCTGCCTTGGGCAGGGACACCTTCCACTAGACCAGGTTTCCTAGATCCAATGTGGCCTTGAATACTTCCAGGGATGGGGCATCCAAAACTTGTCTGAGCAACCCATTCCACTGCCTCACCACCCTCACAGTAAACAATTTCTTACTAATATCTAATCCAGTATCTAAACCATTGCTCAGTTTAAAGCCATTAGAGACAAGCTTGTCTCTTGTGTGGACATGACAGCTATGCCAGATGGCTGCCAACTACCCAGAAATCCCTATGCCAGAGCCAGCATGAGACAGAGAAGGGAAATGTTCAGGATGCAAGTGGCAGAGGAACTGAGCCAGTTCCCCTTACCAGCAGGGTAAGGGGTATTAATGAACTCACATTCAAGCCTGGTGGGGAATTTATGCTGCCAGACCCATTTGCAGAAGCCTGGGGGCATCCCCAATGCAACATGGGGTGCAATGGGAATCGATATGTGCATGTGTAGGGTAGCCTGAATTTGCTTTAAAAATAAACCTTCTTTAGTACACTTCTTCTTTACTTTCATCTCCTCTGACCTCTTTTAGTTCTCCCTCTTTTAGATTTTTGCTAAAAACTGCAACAAACTTGTTTTTCTCCCACAGACCAAAGTCATTCCCTGCCATCTCCTCTCCCCTCCCTCATCCTGTTCTGTAAATACTAGGCAACAAGAGCTTGTCCAGACCCTGGCTCCCTTGCCCTTGCAGGACTGGCTGGCCTGCACACACATCTGCCAGGAGAGGGGGGGGAGAGGAGGCCAGGGTAGATGTGAAAGGCAGCAGTAGAGGCTGTGCAGGGCTTTACAGACCACCAAGGACTGCTCTGGATTCTAGCACTGTGCCCGGGAAAACATGCACCCAAATT